ATATTTGAAAATACCAAAATTCAACAAATTCAGACATATTATGACTCAATTAGCAAACCTGAGATTTTCATTAAGTACTGATGACTGTTTATTATACCAAGCATTATTACAACAATTTTAATATTTTTACATGACTAAAATAAATATATGATTAACATATTAATTGTAACAATTGATATCATAGAATAAATTACATCACGTTACATTTCTGCTAATCAATAATATCTTTACTTTTGCTTATAGAGACATGGCATTATCGATACTAAAACTCGTTCATCATTCACTAATTGATATGCATACTACTCTACAAGATATCACTTTCCAAGACTTTCAAGACTTTGTAAAATCCTTTACCGAACGTCTATACATTCAATGTCTCATAGAAGGAGACATAATACCGAGTATTGCGATAAATACCGTACAGCAACTTATTAAAACAATTAATTGTAAACCTTTACACTCAAATACAATACAACAGCGCAGATGCTTTCAAATACCTTTGGGCACAAGTTATTACTTGATTAAAAATATTAACAAATTAGATACAAGTTCAGTGATATCAAATTATTATCAAACCAGTGTCACCACGACTGAATTATTGACATTAATGAATCTGATAAGCGTAAGTATTAAGGAGATTCTAAAGTGAAGCGTGAACTCCGAAGAGATCGCTATACATTGAAAAAATGCGACACATCAACACATTTTTATATACTACTGCACCAATATTTCACGCGCAAATATACACAAATTTTTCTAGAATAGTAGCACTTTAATTAGACTTTTCGCGATGTTTGTTTATGTAAACTATTAGTCAGTGCCACAATTTCAAAAGTATAGATTGCAAAACTTTTCTATCAATCAAATATTGTTTCGATATTGATAACATCGTATTGGAATAAGAAATGATAAAAAATCAATTTAAATCCTTTTTTTCGGCATAAACTATATCTTACAAACATGTATTAATGCGTATACTTTAAAAAAATACCTGAAAAAGGATTTTCAAATCTGTAAAAGAGGAAAAAAGTTATAAGAATTATTGCGTTTAGTCGATGAGACAACTTAAGGATCCCCTTAAACATATATACATATTGTTGTGTATATTTTGAATGCATGGAATCTTTCATGTATACTCATTTATTTTTAAAAGTTAACGAAATATGATGAATATAATATTTTTAATTATCGATTAATTTTACCTGCACATCACATTCACTTACACTTGTTTTTAGTATATAATGACCGATAAGTTACGAGTCTTTAAGTATGAGGATCTACATACTGATAAGTTTACACATACCACAATCGACGTTAGAGATATTGATGGAATTCTAGGATATTCCATTACTGTTTGCATTCAGGCAAATAAATACACAACCGAGTACGTTGATAAGGAGATCGACGAATTTTTGAGATGGTTTAAAAACGATTTGGAAAAGCTCACAGAAAAGGAATTGGATGTTTACAAAAAAATGTTCCTAAAATCTAGATTACATGATAATGCTAATCTTGAAGACGAAGTTGAAAGAAATTGGGAGGTGATTGTGAAACGTACTTACATATTTGATTTTCACGAACAGGAAATACTTACTCTAAAGAAAATAAATGTTAATAAGCTGAGGGAATGGCTTGCAGACCACATATCGAATGAAAGTAATTTTAGAAAATTGAATTTACATATTGTAGGATCTAATCTCAAAGAAACGAAATACGTTCATTTGGAATATATAAACGACGATAATCAGCAATACAAGACAAATAAAAATCATTATATTACTAAAATAAGAGATTATAAGAACAAAATTTTCATGTTTCCAACTAAACATACGAACAAATTTTCTTCAGAGTAGTATGTAGCACATTAACGATTTAATAGCATAATAAAAATGAAATTATAACTTGTATTATTTTATGATAATGAAGTTTTTTTTAATGGTTAAATGATTATATTTAAGTTTTTTATTTTCGCAAAGCAACTATCCAATAAATGTGAGAATTTGTTGCAATTAGTATACTTCTATATTCTTTCCGATAAGCCATTACGAATAATAGCTTATTATAATAATAACTATTATTGTAACTATTATTATAATAATAAGTTATTATATTAATAACTATTATTATAATAATAGCTGGAATTTTGCATTTTGCTGCAGGACTAGAATATTAGAAGTTAATAGAACGAAATTTTCTCACATTAAAATTAGAATTGTTAGTTTTATATATTAACGATACTTTTCTTTAATAAGAAAATATAAACAGATATATAATAGAAACATATTATAAGTAATTGTAATAACTAGACAAAAACATATACTGTGATAATAATGGAGAGTGCTAGTTAGGAAATAAAGTACTTGCCCATGATGTAATTTTTCATATTTTTTATTTGTATTCTAAACACGACAAAATGTTTTCAATAAAATATGTCTCTCACTCTCTTTTTCTCTCTCTTTCTCTCTCTCTCTCCTTCTATTTTTTTCTACTCACTCGTATGAAACATTTTCATACTTAACTTAATTGATTTAAAATTCATATTCTTTTACAAAGACTGCATACCAGATGAGCAAGGCTTTTCTATAAACTGATCGATCCAACAAATATTTTATTTTTGTGTATGCATAAGCATTGTGTAGGAATTAGATTTTTTTAAAATTAATGAAATACTAAATATATATTTTTTAATAATATATTTATACTCTCGAGAAAAAAAGAAAATTTTCAAATTTAACTGCTTTTTAAGTCAACTGCTCCGTTTCGTGTTCTTTTGAAAAAGAAAATTTTACAATTCGGCGACAGTTGGCGAGCATAAAAAAAACAGAGCACTTGCTTCTAAAAATCAAATTTAATAACTATTAATAAGTAGTATACAATATAAATATTTTAAATTAATGCAACATTAAGCGTGGGTTTCGAATTTTATGTTTTAAATAAACATCATATATATCCTTTTTCTTTTTCTATCGTTCGAATAATATTATATATATTTGTAAATCTTATTTTCAAACATTTATTATTTGTAATCACAATATGAATAGTCAAAAAATATTTATATTCTTAAATTAATCTTTAGGTCTCTTCCAGAACTCTTTGATAATTATAAAAATTTGTTTAAAGATGCCAATCTCTAATAGTTAACCTATTTTTTTCAGTTAATTTCCATGCATATTGTTCATGTATTTCTTTTTAAAAACAAAAGGAAAACTTAACGATATAAGTTCAACTCAATTTACCGATGATTCTCGTTCAATATAGCATTATAATTCTAAAAAAAGAAATTAGACGTGATTCTTTAAACACAATCTGTTCTTAAGGGGGCATATACATCTAAAGGTGGTAAAAAATCAATTTTCTTTTTAATATTTTTAAAGTATAATGTCTTAAAAAAACATTTTTACAGATTTATCCGGCGAAAAATAAAGGAGTAACACGAAATTATAGACGAGTAAGTTTTGAGCTCGTTGAAGACGACAGGTAGGCACGCCTATGACAAAATAGTTCAAGTTCGCGCAAGTCAAAAAAGGCTCTTCCTCTAATCATTGTATTTTCCAATAGCATTCCTCAGAAATGCATTTTAAGATACGAACGATTGGTTCAGTATACATAACAGTTTCTGGAAGAGCAATTGAAAAGGTTGAAACATTAGCTACGAAAAGTATGAACCGAATATAAAACTTTAAACGCGTTTTTTTCAAAACGTAATGTTTTCAAAACGTGTGGTCACTGTATCTTGACGGCTCGACCAATCGATTTATAATTATAATATATATACGGAAAACTGTTCTTGACATAGGATTTTTTTTCCTACGATGTTGCTTTTGTAGCCAAAAGTGAACAAAATTTTATATTATTTTTAAATGAAATTATAATGATAAATAGAGAAAAGTATCATCTTTACAATAGAACAAATTAGACTCCTTTGTCTTTATCCGTTTTTCCACAAAAAATTCAGAAATTAGGCCTCGTTTGATCAGGCTAGTTGTATGTGCCCCTTAAACTTTATTATACTTAAACTAGAAGTCTATTTTCTGTAGCTGAACTAGTGTACACTATTACAACTTAAAGGGAGATAGATATAGGTTTGATTTTGTCGAAAGAGAGTTTTAGAGCAGCTTAGTACAAGAACAGAAAACAAATCAAATAGTATGCTCTCTATTTCGTTCAACTGACCATTATTAGACCTGTGCTAAATTTCAGATAGCTTTAAACCGGAGTACGCTTTTTTATTTCAATTTGTAGTTCAGTCAAATTAAGTTCAAATTTCAAGCACTTGTCGCGCGCACATATGGAACCTTTTTCAGGTATGCCTAGCAACAGTGAAATAATTACTTAAATAGTCTTAATAAGCAGACAATCGTAAATGAATCTTATTGAGGTTAACCGTTTTAAATAATACGTTAAGATGTTAATAAGGTTTAGTAATTGGTTTATGATATTTTAAGATAAGATATTTCAACGATATTAAGTATAAGATCAAATCGCGTATATAATACGTTACCTGGCCTGCTGGATTATTTGCTCTCAGACCAGTGGGAACATTACAAGTTAGTAAACATCTACGATCTTAGTTTATGATATACATAGTTAGTCATATATCGACTTCTGTTCGAAAGCAATTGGCATAATGGAAAAAGAAGCTATCGGTTAGAGTGCTGATTAAAATTGACTACCAGAAACGACTTAATATTGGGAATTTTTTCATCGGATAGTATTATGTAAGGAAGTGGAAATAATAAGAGTTTTTAAGTTGAATATCTAGGAACTTCCATTAAATTGAAGAATGACAAAAAGGAATATAGGTGAGGCAAAAGAAATTCTGAACACAGCAATATGCACGATTGAAATAAGCGTGAGAAATACTACTACGAAGATAATTTTTTTAGAAGAAACAATATAATGTATTTTTTATTAATAAATGCAGGAATTATACTTTTCTAAATAATAATATGTAACATTCTCATTGATGTTTCATTTTATGAATACTTTGTTTGCTTCGTCTTTTTAATTTAGAGCCATTAGATTATCAAATGGTTTACCAGCTTTGCTAATATTCGATTCAAAGACATGCTTTTCTCAACATCAAGATATGAAAAATGAAATGAAGGTACGGACTAAATAATTTAATGTGCATTTTAGGATATACCTTACATCAATTTTTTTACTTACTTTATTATTAAAATTTATTAAAATTGTAATATATCGAAGGCATATCTCACAAAATATACCTATTCATTATTTTCAAGATTTAATTATATTATTAAAAGTTTCGGTTTAAAAAAGTTGATTTTCTTCACTAACTGTAAAAGAATTTTTCATTATTTAATTCTAAAATGTATTACTAAAATGTATTAATTTTCAAATCATTTACGAGTCATTCCTTTAAATGTTTTTTGCCCATTTAATATTTAGCTTGTATTATGCGTGATAAGTATATAAATATATTTTTTTTTAATAGGCAGCACGTTGCTTATGTGTGACAACAGAAATGTTCTGAGCCAGCAAAATTTCCAGGTATATCATTTTTCGAGTATATCTTTTTTTTGACTGAATTCGAGAAACATTGTCAAGTACTAAAAATATGATACGTATAAATTTATTTATTTATTATATAAATAATTATTATAATTATAATAATTATTATATATTGTTTAAATCATCTTACTTGCAGAAATATAATTTAGAAAAACTTACTCGTAGACATGGAAGCAACTGTGATTACTTATTTGATTACGATGAATATACATTATCGTTTATCTTTGATATTCAAGAGAAACACTTTTTATCAATTATCATTCATTTTGCTAAATTTTTCACGAACTTTCTACCGAAAAAAGATACATTTATACAGAATGAAAATGATATAAAGAAAGATAGATTATAATACTGTTGCAACTGGCAATGTTAAAATATCGTATTTATATAGAATTTCAGACAGCCTTAAATTTTGCCAACGAGAACAGAGTTCAGCAACCACAATGTTTTTCCTTTACGCGAACTGATCATCCAATCAACAAGATTACTGAGGATCGAGGATTATAAAACAGCACGAAAATTTGGATTACACGAAATTACATGAAAAGCTACACAAATTCAAAGAGCCATTATAATATTCGCAATATAAAGTTGGTTACAAGTAATTTTGTTAAAATTGCGACAAACAATTAATTACTTTTACAGTATACAGTTTATGTATTTCAAAAACAAGCTTAAAATTAGTAAAAAATGATGATTCCTTTTGAAGGAATCCTTTTAGACTGCCGCTTTTCAAAAAAATGTATAAAATTTCTGCTTTGAAACATGTTGGACAAGTACTAAAAGTTAACCAAGTCGAAAAAAATCTATGTTTATATTATGAGTAAAAATATAAATATGTAAAATAAAATTTGATTGAATTCTGCAGCTAGAAATAATATGGGCCATGCCTTCGCTATTTGCTTTATATAAAAGTAAATCATATCGATACATCTCGTGGCTTATTGGGAACATGAAGGAAAAGGTTCCCTAATTAGTTATCTACGCAAAAAAATGTGGAATGTTACCAATGTTTCCAATGAGGAAATTTGTTACTTTCGCGTAGATACAGATAATTATATTTTACGCGTAAACGCTCAACTGTAATTTGAATTTATATACCGTTAATAGACTGTCCTTATCAATGTCTTTGAATTAACCAATAAGAAAATATGAGGGATATTTTTAAATTTCATATACTCTCTATTTTATCATATTTAAACATTGTGTACTTTCTGTTTCTTTCAACAACCACTGCATCAATTAGTTGTAAATAGCACGGTCTTCCATCTCGGCATATAGTTCACGTAAATTGACTCAAGTTGCAGATCAAACTCATATAAAATCTCTTTTTTAGGCTTTTTATAATAAACCACATTATCTAAGTTTTAAGTCTTAATCTATAAAGAATTGATCAATTAAAGGGTGTTTTTTTAAGCCCGATAGATTTTTTTAAGCCCGATAGAACTTAAAATTGTAAAAACTAACACAAAAATTAAATTATAATCAAAAAATTTTTTTTAGTCGAAAGATCAATGCATGGCATTAACATTTGAAAATGATTTCGGGCATATGGCCACCGCGGCTGTTTAATTTAATTTTTTGTTTTATTTTTTACAATTTCAAGTTCTATCGGGCTTAAAAAAACACTCTTTACAATGGAATATGAGAAGAATAATCGACTATGATTCGTCAAAGTTTAGATATTGGCTTATTGTAAAATGAAAGCCCATTACGCCAATAATCATAATAAGATAAACCGATATTCATAGCCAATTTCTTATTTCAATTAATAATTCTTATTTTAATTAGCAATATCTTAAAATGCTATAATGCTGCAAATGCTAATAATGCTAATAATGCTATAATGCTAATAATACTGCAAATGCTAATAATTAGCAATACTTTAAAATGCAATAAGAATATTTAATAACAATTTAAGAATTAAATAACAATTTAAGATATAAATTTTAAATTTAAACGGATTATGAATACTAGACCTGTCACTATGTAAACGATACGAAAAAATAAACATCTAAAACCTCTACGTATGTACAATATATATATATATATATTGTATATAACATATACATTAGCATTAGCCGTATTGACCTTTATTCGAGAATATGTGCAAACAAAGAAGATCTTTTAGTTAATGTACTGATTCGAATAGTGTCAGGTTTATTGAAAAGGAAGTTAAAAAAAACTGAAAACCATCGGACTCTTCCGGATCAAATCATATTTCACAAATCGACATAATTTCGATTCCAATTTTCTGCACGTTGACATAATGATGGTTGTGAAGAATTCGTATAGTGCGAGCAACCAAGCTAAACATTTGCATCAACCTGATAAATCAGAGAATGACAAGAAAGAATATAGGTAAAAAGCAACCAAATACTCAGCAGTAAGCACGATTCGCAATAGACGTGAGATATAATAAGATAGTAATTTTTTGAAAGAAATCTTGCAATCCATTTAGATTTTAGAAGTGATCGACAAAGTATACAATATTCTTACTAACTTCTCATTTTATTATTGTTTGTTTTGTCTTTAAAATTTAGAGCCATCAGATTGCCAAACGGTTTAGAAGCTTTGCTAATATCCGATGAACATTTAACAACATCTTCTTCTCAAGAAAATAAGGTATAAAAAAGATAATTTAATTTGCATTTTAAGACTTACTAATTTTTTTAATTAATATATTACTCAAAATTTATATTTAAAATTAATATTAACAATAAACTTTAAATCTCATAAGAGATATCTATTTTCATAAGATTTAAGTAGAATATTATCAGAAGTTTCGATTTGAAAAATTTAATCTCCTACACAGCAGAAAAGTTTCCATAAATTAATTTCGAAATGTATAATAAAATTTCAAACTGTTTAATCATTCTGTTGATTATATTCTGTTGATTATATTTTTCTCCTTAACACTATGTGTAATGTGCATGATGTATATATTCTTATATTTTTTTAAACAGGCAGCATGTAGCTTATGCGTGAACGTAGGAAATTTCAGCGATCCACCAGAATTTCCGGGCATATCATATATGTTAGCCTTTGAATATATGTTTTTTCGAGAACCCGAAAAATGTTCAGAGGTACTAGAACATGAGCATAAATTTATAGTAAAAATTATTTATTCATATATTTAAATATTTAAGTATCGTCTTATTTGTAGCAATGTATTCCTTTGGAAAATTTTATTCATGACCATGATGGCACAACTCATGTCTCAGTGGAAAACGAACATACAATATTTTACTTTGATATCAAAGAAAATAACTTGTTTTTAGCTCTCCATAAGTTTGGTCTTTTTTTTGTTAATCCTATAATGCCAAAACATATATTTATGGAGCAACTAAAAGCCATAAATACCGGTATATAAATTGTAATCTTAACATTGTTGTCGCAATTTGCAATCAATCACATGCCATGCTTATATAGAGATAACATAGAGTTTCAGATAAGCTTATTTAATGGCAGGTCGAAATACGAACAACTATTTTCCTCCTTCGCACAAACTGGTCATCCAGCTAACATGTTTTCTGTGGAATATTTAATAAAATTGCGCATTAATATAGATTACGACAAATTGTTCAATGCGCTAGACAGATTTAAAAAGCGCCACTACAGCGCTCACAGAATGAAGCTAGCAATACGGGTAACTTCGTTAAAATTGCGACGAGAGAATTATTCATTACTTAGATTTGTAGTTTTGTTGTTTATAAAATAAATTTAACATAATACATATTTTTATAGTCGGGACTATCGTTGGATACAATGGAAAAATTTGTCAAAGAGTGCTTTGTCCATGTACCAAATAACAGAATGCCTCCAAATAATTTATTCAAATTTAAAAAGGATCTTCCTTTTGATACTTCCGCTTTCCGAAAAATGTATAAAGTTAATGATGATACGGAACATTTGACACGAGTAAGTGACTAAAATTTAAGTAGATATAAAAAAATCTAGATTTATATATGAAAATTTATATAAATAAACGTTCTTTTTTGCAGCTACAAATAACGTGGGCTTTGCCTTCATTCTCCGATTTTTATAAATATGATTCATATCAATATATTCCATGGATTATTGGATATAAAGGAAAAGGTTCCTTAATTAGTTATCTACGACAAAAAATGTGGAGTCCTACATCAGACAATAATATGTTTTGTTGTGAGATTCAACAAAATTCTTTGTACAGCTTAATACAACTCACCATACCACTCACTTCTAAAGGACAAAAACATCTGGAAGATGTTTTAGATGCAATATTTTCTTTTATCAAATTATTAAAGACAGAAGGTCCGCGGGAAGAAATTTACAATAACATTTTTAAGATTAAACAACATATTTTTAGGTAAAGTAATTTTAGAAATAAATATATGTATTTAAAATGATTGAAGAGAAAAGTCAACAACATATTTGTAGAACGCCACTTACTTACCTAATTGAAGGTCTTTTTAGATACGTTAATTACGACAAAGAAGATATCTCTGAGGTAGAACTATTCTGTAAGAATATGTATTTCTATTGGTCGAAGGATTATATAACTGTAAACCAGCTTGATTCGGATTATAATGCAAAAGTTATACAACAATGTTTGAATTATTTAACACCTGAGATGGCAAATATTATGATTTTCTCCAAGGATTTTAATTGTTTCGAATTAAAGAAAATTGAACCATGGTGGCATACGGAATATACGGATATTGAGATACCGAAAGGGTGGATCAAACGTTGGAAAGTCATCGAGCCATTACCAGAATTTTATTTACCGTTACCGAATGTATTCCTTATCAAAAATCATCATCTACTAAAGACATCAAACGAAAAAATTGAGAAATATCCTGTGAAATTATACAGTAATTCTATGTCGGAGCTTTGGTATCGCCCGGATTTTAAGTTTTGTTTGCCGAAATGTTGTATGCATTTCTATTTTATTTCCCCTTTAAAGCTTCAGTCGTTGAAGAAGTAAGTAGCATAGAAAATGTAACAATTCTATATTGTAGCAGTTACTATTCAACTTATATATAACACATTATTTGTATACCAATTTTTAACTTATAGTTACCAATATTATGATTTTTATCAATATTATAATTATTTACATCTTATTGAAAAAGATGTAAACATAAATAACATTTCAGTGAAGTTCTCATGGATATGTACTGCAGACTATTGGAACAGCTATTAGCCGAAGAATTATATCCAGCTTTACAGGTTGGGTTTAAATATGATATAAGTGTCAATAGGAATGGTTTTACACTAAAAATAAGAGGTCTTAATGAAACTCTACCAGTAAGTATACGTTCAAAGTGTGCTTTCGAGTTATAAATACAATTTCAAGATATATCATTGTATTTATATTGCAGCTTTTAGCGGCTTCTTTTGCACATGGCATGGTGCAATATTCAAGCTTAATTACGAAGGATATATTTGAAAATACCAAAATTCAACAAATTCAGACATATTACGACTCAATTAGCAAACCTGATATTTTTATCGTGTACTGACTGTTTATTATGTCATTATTATAACAATTACAAAATTCTTACATGACTAAAATCAATGATTAACATATTAATTGTAACAAAAATCATAAAATAAATTCCATCATGTTACATTTCTGCTAATAATATCTTTACTCTTGCTTGCAGCGACATGGCATTATCGATATTGAAATCAGTCCATCATTCACTAATTGATATGCATACTGCTCTACAAGATATCACTTTGAAAGACTTTCAAGACTTTGTGAAATCTTTTACCGAATGTCTATACATTCAATGTCTCGTGCAAGGAAACATAACGTCGACTGCTGCGATCGAGACCCTACAGCAATTTATTAAAATAATTAATTGTAGACCTTTACATTCAAATACGACACAACAGTTTAAAGGCACTCAGATACCTTTGGGCATAAGCTATTACAAAATTAAAAATATCAATAAATTGGATACAATTTCCATGATGTCAAATTATTATCAAATCGGCGTTACCACGATTGAATTATTGACATTAATTAATCTGATAAGCGTAAGTATTAGGGGATCTTAAAGTGAACTCCGAGGAGCTATTTACTGAAAAAATGCGACGCATTAATACATCTTTATGTACTACTGCATCAATATTTCATGCATACATATACATAAATTTTCCTAAAATAATAATATTTTAATTAGACTTTTAAATCAAATTCTAAGAATTCGGTGTTGTTTGTTTATGTATACTATTACCCAGTGAGAAATGACAATAAAACATCGAATTGATGTCGATTCAACGTCGAAATCATCAAATCGATATCGATTCCATTGTCATTTCTTACTGCATAATCAGTGGATATGCCAATTTCGTAAGTAAGATTGTGAAGCTTTTATATCAAGCAAATGTTTCAATATTGATAATATTGGAGTAAGAAATGATAAAAAAATCAATTTAAATCTTTTTTTCGGCATAAACTATATCTTACAAACACTTATTAATGCGAATACTTTAATCTTGAAAAAGGATTTTCAAATCTGTAAAAGAAGAAAAAAGTTATACAAGAATTATTGCATTTAGTCGATGATATAGACAACTTACGGATCCCCTATATATAAATATATATATATATATATATATATATATATACATATTGTTTTGTATATTTTGAATGCATAGAATCTTTCATGTATATTCATTTATTTTTAAAAATTAATGAAATATGATGAATATAAGATCTTTGATTATCACGATTAATTTTACCTGCACATCACATTCACTTGCACTTGTTTTCAGTATATAATGACCGATAAGTTACACAAGCGTCTACGTACTGATAAGTTTATATATATCACAATTGATGTTAGAGATGATGATGGAATTCTAGGATATTCCATTACTGTTTGCATTCAGGCAAGTAAATACACAACCGAATACATTGATAAGGAGATCGATGAATTTTTGAGATGGTTTAAAAACGATTTGGAAAAACTCACAGAAAAGGAATTGGATGATTACAAAGAAATATTCCTAAAATCTAGATTACATGACAATGCCAATCTTGAAGACGAAGTTGAAAGAAATTGGGAGGTGATTGTGAAATGTACTTACATATTTGATTTTCACGAACAGGAAATACTTGCTCTAAAGAAAATAAATGTTAATAAGCTGAGGGAATGGCTTGCAGACTACATATCGAATGAAAGTAATTTTAGAAAATTGAGTTTACATATTGTAGGATCTATTCCCAAAAAAACGAAATACGTTCATTTGGAATACATAAACGACGATAATCAGCAATATAAGACAAATAAAAATCATTATATTACTAAAGTAGGAGATTATAAAAAAAAACTGTTCATGTTTCCAACAAACGTTCGAACAAATTTCTCTTCAGAGCACGTAGTATGTAACACATTAACGATTTAATAGTATAATAAAAATGAAATTATAACTTGTATTATTTTATGATAATTTTTTTTTAATGATTAAATGATTATATTTAAGTTTTTCATATTCGCAAAGCAACTACGCGATAAATGCGAGAATTTGTTGCAATTACAATTAGTATACTTCTATATTCTTTCCGATAAGCCATTACGAATAATAGCTGTTATTATAATAATAACTATTATTGTAATAGAATTTTGCATTTTGCTGCAGGACTAGAATATTAGAAATAAATAGAACGAAATTTTCTCACACTAAAATTAGAATTGTTAGTTTTATATATTAACGATAATTTTCTTTAATAAGAAAATATAAACAGATATATAATAGAAACATATTATAAGTAACTGTAATAACTAGACAAAAACATATACTGTGATAATAATGGAGGGTGCAAGTTAGGATATAAAGTACTTGCTCATGATGTAATTTTTCATATTTTTTATTTGTATTCTAAACATGACAAAATGTTTTCAATAAAATATGTCTCTCACTCTCTTTCACTCTCTCTCTCTCTTTCTCTCTCCCTCTTTCTCTCTCTCTCTCTCCTTCTATTTCCTCTACCCACTCGTATGAAACATTTTCATACTTAACTTAACTGATTTAAAAGTCATATTCTTTTACAAAGGCCGCATACCAGATGAGCAAGGCCTTTCTATACGGAAGATCCTACAAATATTTTACTTTTGTGTATGCGCAAGAATTGTGTAGGAGTTGGATTTAAAAAAAATTAATGAAATACTAAATATATATTTTTAATAATATATTTATACTCTCTATAAAAGAAGGAAATATTTATAATTGACTGCTTTTTAGTTAACTGCTCTATTTCCTATTCTTTCGGAAAAGAAAATTTTGCGATTCGGCGATAGTTGGCGAGCATAAAAAAACAGGCAGAACATTTGTTCCTAAAAATCAGATTTAATGACTATTAATAAGTAATATAAATATTTTAAATTAATGCAACATTCATTAAGAGTGGATTTCGCGTTTTACTTTAAATAAACATAATGTATATCCTCTTTCTTTTTCTATCTTTCCAATAATATTATATAGATTTGTAACTCTTATACATTTTCAAACATTTATTATTTATAATCACAATATGAATAGTCGAAAATATTTATATTCTTAAATTATCTCTAGGTCTTCTATTATTCGATATCGAATTATAAGAATTTGTTTAAAGTTAACAATCTCTAATAATTAGTTTATTATCTTCAGTTAAACTCCATACATATTGTTCATCTATTTCTTTTTAAGAACAGAAGGAAAAATTAACGATATGAGTTCAACTCAATTTACCGACGATTCAATAACGATTTAATATTGTTCTAAAAAAGAAATTAGGCGTTATTTTTTAAACACAGTCTGTTTTTAAGGGAGCATATACACCTAGAGGTAGTAAAAAATCGATTTTTTTTTAAAGTATAATGTCTTAAAAATATTTTTGTACATTTATCTGGCAAAAAATAAAGAAGTCACACGAAATTATAGACGTGTAAGTTTGAGCTCGTTGAAGACGACAGGTAGACGCGCCTGCGACAAAATAGTTCAAGTTCACGCAAGTCAAAAAAGGGTCTTCCTTTAATCATTGTATTTTCCAATAGCATTCCTCAAAAATGCATTTTAAGATACGAACGATTGGTTAAGTATACATAACAATTTCGTCTGGAAGAGCAACTGAAAAGGTTGAAACATTAGCTACGAAAAGTATGAACCGAATATAAAACTTTAAACGCGTTTTTCTCAAAACGTACTGTTTTCAAAACGCATGGTCACTGTATCTTGAAGACAGCTCGATCGATTTATAATTACACACTTTTTCTATATACTGAAAATTGTTCTTGACGTAGGATTTTTTTTCTTACGATGCTTTCGTAGCCAAAAGCGAACAAAATTTTTTTTTTTAATCGTTATGTTAACTTTGACCAGCTGCCATTTTATTCAAATGCTATATTAAAAATAATGACTATATCAAGCATAAGATTTATGTTTCAATTTCATAAAACCTGCCATTTTGATTTCAAACGGGTCTTGTGCGAGCAGCAATGGTCATTCATTTTATAAAATATGACGTACGAAAATTTGAATAGCGTCTCTATTTTATATTATTTTTAAATTGTAATGATAAATAGAGAAAAGTATCATCTTTACAATGGAACAAATTAGACTTCTTTGTCTTTATCCGTTTTTCCACAAAAAATTCGAAAATTAGGCCTCGTTTCAGGCTAGTTGTATATGTTCCTTAAACTTTATTATACTTAAAATAGAAATCTGTTTTTTGTAGTTGAACTAGTACATTATTAGAACTTAAAGGGAGATAGATATGGGTTTGATTTTGTCGAAAGAGAGTTTTAGAGCAGCTTAGTACAAGAACAGAAAACAAACCAAATAGTATGCTCTCTATTTCGTTCAACTGACCATTATCAGACCTGTGTGGCTAAATTTCAGATAGCTTTAAACCGGAATACGCTTTTTTATTTCAATTTGTAGTTCAGTCAAATTAAGTTCAAATTTCAAGCACTTGTCACACATGTGGGATGTCTCTTTTAGATTTAGCAACAGTGAAATAATTACTTAAACAATCTCAATAGGCAGACAATCATAAATGAATCTTATTGAAATTAATCATTTTAAATAATACGTTAAGAAGTTAATAAGGTTCAGTAATTGATTTATGATATTTTTAGATAAGATATTTCAACGATTAAGTATAAGATCAAATCGCGTATATAATACTTAACTGGCTTGTTATTTGCGGATTATTTGCTCTCAGAGGGAATAATACAAGTTAGTAAACATCTACGACTTTTGCTTAGTATGTACACAAGTTAGTCATATCAACTTCTATTCGAAAGCAAGTGGTATAACGGAAGAAAAAACCGTATCGGTTAGAGTGCTGGTTAAAATCGTCCAGAAACGAATTAATATTAGAAATTCTTTCATCTGATCGTATTAAATCGACGAAATAATGCAAGAAAATGAAAACATTAAGAGTGATCAAGTTGAATATCTAGAAACTCCCATCAAATCGAAGAATGACAAAAAGGAATATAGGTGAGGCGAAAGAAATTCTGATCAGCAATATGCACGATTTCGATTGAAATAAGCGTGAGAAATATTACTATGAAGATAATTTTTTTAGAAGAAACAATATAATGTATTTTTTATTAATAAATGTAGGAATTATATTTTTCTAAATAATAATATGCAACATTCTCATTGACGTCCCATTTTATTAATATTTTGTTTGCTTTGTCTTTTAAATTTAGAGCCATTAGATTACCAAATGGTTTAGAAGCTTTGCTAATATCCGATGAATATTCAAAGACATGCTCTTCTCAACTTCAAGATATGAAAAATGAAATGAAGGTACTACTGAAATAATTTAATGTGCATTTTAGGATATATCTTATTTTTTCACTTACTTTATTATTAAAATTGTAATATATCAAAGGCAGGTCTTACAAAAGATATCTATCTTTTCAAGATTTAATTGTATGATTAAAACTTTCGGTTTAAAAAAATTGATTTTCTTCACTAACTGTAAAAGAATTATTCATTATTTAATTCCAAAATGTATTACTCAATTTTAAATCATTTACGAATCATTCCGTTAATTATATTTATTTCTTCATTTAATATTCAGCATGTATTGTGTGTGATACGTACATAAATATATTTTTTAATAGGCAGCATGTTGCTTATGTGTGAGAACACGAACTTTCAAAGAGCCATCAGAATTTCCAGGCATATCATTTTTCTTCGAATATATCCTTTTGGCTGAATTCGATAAACATTGCCAAGTACTAAAAATATAATTCGTATAAATTAGATGTAAAATTTATTTATTTGTATATTAAATTGTTTAAATCATCTTACTTGCAGAAATATGATTTTAAAGAATTTATTTATAAACATGGAGGCAGCTGGGATTGCTTATTTGATTATGATGAATATACATTATCGTTTATCTTTGATATTCAAGAGGAACATTTTTTATCAGTTCTTATTCATTTTGCTGAATTTTTCACTAATCCTCTACCGGAAAAAGATGCATTTATGCAGAATCAAAACGAAAAAGGTAGATTGTACTTATAATACTGTTGTTGCAACTTACAATCTTAAAATATCGTATTTTGTATTATGTAGAATTTCAGAAAGCTTTAAATTTAGCCAAGGTCAGAGTTCATCAACCACAGCTTTCCTCCTTTACGCGAACTGATCATCCAATCAACATTACTAAGGATCATATTATAAAAGAGCAGGAAAATTTGGATTACACGAAATTATATGAAGAGCTATACAAATTTAAAGAGCGCCATTATAATGCTCGCAGTATAAAGCTGGTTATACAGGTAATTTTGTTAAAATTGCGACAAACGATTAATTACTTTTACAGTATACAGTTTATTTATTTCAAAAACAAGCTTAAAATTTATAACACGATACACCTTTTTATAGGCAAGATTACCGCTGAATACTTTGGAACAATATGTCACAATTAATACGTGTTTTGTTAATGTACCAACTAACGAACTATCTCTCGATGACTCTATCGAATTAATAAAAAATGATGTTCCTTTTGATACTGCCGCTTTTCAAAAAATGTATAAAATTTCTGCTTTGAAACATGTTAGACAAGTATGTGACTAAAAGTTAACCAAGTCAAAAAAAGTTTATGTTTATACTATGCGTTAAATATAAATATGTAAAATAAAATTTGACTTTTGCAGCTAGAAATAACATGGGCCATGCCTTCGCAATTGGCTTTATATAAAAGTAAACCATATCGATATATTTCGTGTCTTATTGGACATGAAGGAAAAGGTTCCCTAATTAGTTATCTACGTAAAAAAATATGGAATATTACTGTTTCCAATAAGGAAATTTGTTACAATATACATACTATCACGTATAGCTTATTCAAGATTAGTATAGATCTCTCCAATGAAGGAAAACAACATGTAAAGGAGGTTCTAGATACGATATTTTCCTATATCAATTGGTTAAAGAAGGAAGGTCCGCAGAAAAAAATTTACGACGAGTTTAGTGAGAGTTCAGAAAATATTTTTAGGTAAACTAGTTTTAAAAATAAATAGAATATGAAAGATAATTGAAAAAATAAAATATTCGTGAAAAACATCACTTATACTTGGAGGTCATTTTAGAGAAAATTTTAAGGAAGAGAATCCAAAGGATAATGTGAGCAGTTTATGTATAAATTTGTATCAGTATCCGTCGCGCGATTATCTAATTGGAAGCAAGATTTATTTTGAATATGATCCAGAAAGTATAACAAATATTTTGAATTATTTGATACCTGAGACTGCGAATATTATGATTTTCGACAAAGACTTTGATAATATGGAATTAGATAAAGTCGATTCATGGTTGAAAGTACGATATACAGACATCGAGATACCACACGAATGGCTCGAACACTGGAAATCCGTCGAGCCATTGCCACATTTTCATTCACCGGGAAAGAAGGATGCATTTCTTCATAATAATCATTATTTAATAGGATTGCCTTCAAAAATTCCAAAATATCCTAGAAAATTGCGTTCGGGAATTGATTTATTAGAGATTTGGTATCGCGAAGATCCCAAATTTCGTTTGCCAATAGCTTATATGTATGTACATTTTATTTCCTGTGGAGAATTTCTGTCAGGACCGGAAAAGTAAGTAATGTAGCATAATGTATTATAATAATACTACATTGCATAGTATTACTGATTCTCAATACACTAATTTCTAAGTTGGAATTAATACAATTTCTATAATTTTTTATTTGGATCTTTTATTTTGAAAAATCTTCTCTTGTTAATATTTCAGTTTCGCTCTCATGACAGTGTACTGCAACATAATAAAATTACTAGTGGCGGAAGAATTATATGCTATAGAAAGTGGGCTCACCTATGACATCAGTGTTAATGAGAAAGGAATTATAATAAAACTATCTGGACCTTGGCCGAACGTAAGTATATATTCAAAGCATGCGTCAAAGTTACATAGTTTCGGTGTATATTATTTTTACTTTATTTATATTGTTGCAGTGTTTGTTGAACATTATAACAAAATGCATGAAGAACTGTTCAAATATTACGAAGCTAATGTTCGAAATGATCAAAGCTCAACAAATTGATATCTGTAACGACATATTCACTAAACCTGAGGAACTCGCTAAGTACTGGCTATTTATTGTCAAATAATTGCAACAATATTATGAAATTTTTACATAACTGAAAGACATTATTAATAGATAAATAAGAAATTAATTTTGTATAATACATTATAATAAATGTTGTATTTTTTGCCAATTAGACAATAATGAATATATCTTTAATCTTTTTTGCAGGGATATGAGATTATGGATACTAAAATTTGTCCATTATACATACGTCGATGTACACAATGCTTTACAAAATGTCAGTTTCCAGGAATTCCAAAAATTTGCAAAACATTTTATCAGTTGTCTATACATTCAGTGTCTCGTGCAAGGCAATATGAAGGAGGTTGATGTAATCAATTCTTTATATCCGATTCTTAAAATATTTAACTGTAACTCTTCACATTCTAATAAAAAGGAATCAAATAGAGTCTTTCAGTTACCCTTGGGCACAAGTAATTGCAAATTGAAAAATATCAACAAACATGATCCAACTTCCGTTGTGGTAAATACTTATCAAATCGATGCGTCAATTGAGTCATCGGTGTTAATGAGATTAATAATCGTAAGTATTAAATAACATAATTTTATATAAAATCTTAAGTGTTTATTCATCTATTTTTAAAAGTAAATAAAATATGAACAACTTCTTAGACTGTTGCGATTAATTTTATCTCCAAATTACATTCATCCACACGTTTTTTCAGATGATAATGGAATTATCACTAAAATCAATCCAAAATGATGATCTTGTACAACATACTTCATGCAACTATATAGATGTCGGTGGAATTGTAGGATGTTCTATTAGTGCCACTCAATCAATGACAAATAAATCATGCACAACTGAGTTTATTAAGGAATGGATCGATAGATTTCTGGATCTTTTTAAAGAAATTTTGAATGGATTCTCAGAAAATAACTTAGATGATGTCAAGGAAAGATTAAGAATATTTAAGCAACATGCTGATATGAATCTTGAAGAAGAAGTTAATAGAAACTGGAATGAGATCATGAAGGGTCAATACATATTTGACAGAGATGAGAGAGAAATACTTGCATTAAACAACATAAAAATAAACGAACTAAAAGAATGGTTTGATAAGTATATGAGGAACGAAAATTATATGAAAAAATTGAGTGTACATGTTATTGGAACTGATCCCGACGAAGCGCAATCCATTGCTTTGGAATACATAATCGATGAACATCAACATAAGAACATTGAAGAAAATTATATTATTAAAGTAGAAGAATACAAGAAAAAACTTTTCGTTTATCCAGTATCTGAAAACACAATTTGATTTCTGAGATAACTATGACCAATCGACAGCGCAGAGTAAGTAATATTTTTACACAATAATAATATAAAAAAATAAAATTATAAATTATATTAGGTGTTGGAATTAATTCGTAGCGTTTTTTAATGAAAGAATGTTATTTATTTCACATGAGCATTAAAAAATACATTAATGAAAGTACTTCCCATCACTTGTAAAACGCTACGAATTAATTCCAACACCTAATATAAAATTATAAATTGTAATTCTTTATAATAATAAGATCCCGGGAAAAATGTTTCATATATGGACATATTTTATATATTATTATATATAAAATGTATGTAAATTTATAATATAATTATGTATGAAATATTTTTTTCCGGGGTTTTTGTTGATTTATTGGATGATTAAAGAAATTATGCATTTATTTTTAGGGCACATGCTGAAATTTTTAATTCTTTTTTTTTCAATTTGCTTGCTGAATCTGTATAACAAGTAAGAATCATGACTTTAATAATGATTGCGGTTTTAATGATAAAAGAAATAATTTTTATAAAAACAGAGAAATTATCATAATTCAATAAAATTAAAAGAAATTGTTATTTTCTTCAGTTAAAACACGTATTCAAAAATTGTATTTTCCATATATTAAGACTATTTTAACCATGACTTTCAAATTCAGCAAGTGAATTAAGGAGAATATTTTGTAATTCTCGACGTAATTATAGCGTTACAGTTGTTGCGCAGGTGTTGTACATAAAAAACGATACTGTAACGCTACAGTTACAGTTGTTAAAAGTTATAGAGTAGATCTCTTAGTTTCACTAATTTTTTTAGATGATAATGGAATTGTCATTAAAATCAATCCAAAATGATCTTATACAACATACTTCATGCGACTATATGGATGTCGGTGGAATTGTAGGATGTTCTATTAGTGCCACTCAATCAGTGGCAAATAAATCATGCACAACTGAATTTATTAAGGAATGGATCGATAGATTTCTGGATGTTTTTAAAGAAATTTTGGATGAATTCTCAGAAAATGACTTAGATGATGTTAAGGAAAGATTAAGAATATTTAAGCAACATAAGTTTTAGTTCTTTCTTAGTTCTCCCAAAATGAAAAAAAGAAGAATCCAATAATCGCAGCTGCTCCTCAAATTGCTTAAATGCATAAACTTCTTTAATACTAATTTTTGCATAACAGCAATAATACAATAAGTTATTACACAGTCAACTTTTCATATAACTCTTCACATTGCTTCTATATTTTTCTTGCGCGCAGTAATATATTATTATAATAACGAATGTAGTTTGAAACATTTTGTTAATAAAGCTGAAAAATAAATAAAAAACTTTTTTAAAGAAAGATATACTTCATCCTTCACTTAACTTAATTCGTATAAAAATCTACATCAATATACAAAAATGTATATAAAAAATGAATCGCATTGATTTCAAAGATATATTAATTTTCGTAAGAAAAAACCATTCCCTAAATTGTCTTATCAATGTGTGTCTTCCAACAAGCGACACAAATGACACGATGTGACACAATGGATCATTACATCCTTGTTGTTTGCCAATATTAAACAAAGATGACATAATCATTGTATCGCACTGTATCGCTTGTTGGAAGGCATAATAGCATCACCAATGTTTCACACCGTGATTTATAACAAAAAAGAGAATAATTTCGATTAAATTTAAGAAAGATCTACGAAAAGATAACCATTTGACGATACAATCAAATGATAATTATGTTTAGATCACAATATATTTAACTAATTAGAATTTCATTTAGAATGTATAATAATTATGTATGAGGCGTCGAGTGGCTTTAATTTAAGATTTAATTTAGGATCGCGGAAACATCCGAGTATCTCTGTATATCATTTTATTCTTGTTATTCTAATGTTAAACAAAGATAAGATAATATACGGTGGCATCCGGGTGATGTTTCCGGGATCAAGTGATCAAGTGGCAGTTTTTAAGATAAAACATTTCAAATACAAACATTTCTGACGTATGTTCTTTGTGACTTTTCATTTTTTTTCTTTTTTTCTCTCTGATGACTATGTGTGCTTATTTTACTTCAAAACTGTAAAATTAAAAACGTTATTAAATACCAAGATTTGAAATATATTTCCTTAATGATTTCATCAGAAATAAAGCGGAATTATCTAACGCCGAGGGACATCTATTTTGGTCCTCTGATAACAATATGTGAGTAAGTTTGATTTTCCTATCATTGTATTATCATTGAGAGATCAACAGATCGAATCCTTTATTTTTTGCCTTGAATTGTAGGACTGTTCCCAATAAAAAATACCAAATCATTTTATCAAAAAAAATTACAAAATGTCAAACTATTGGGTCATCTAAAAAGTATCCGCGGTTTTTTGTCACTAGATGGTATTGATGGTCAACACCATCTAGTGACAAAAAACCGCGGATACTTTTTAGATGACTCAATATATTCTGCTCAATCAATTTTTGTGTTTAAAATCAATGGATAGCTTTTCAATCGTACAAAACGTTTTCTATAAAAATATTCTGTTACAAAGTTTCAAATTTTATTAACAATCAATATTTTGTAACAACAGCTATTATATTGGGTCATCTAAAAAGTATCCGCGGTACTTTGTCACTAGATATATGACCATCAACACACATCTACAAAAAACCGCGGATACTTTTTAGATGACCCAATATAAAGATTATGCGTTTCGCGGGTTTCCTCCTTTCTTGGAATGTCAACATTTCATGAATCTTGCAGTCCACTTCATCAACGATTACAATCGTTTACGCCGTTACGCTGCCGCGTAAACGATTGTAGCGCCATGTGATGATCAATTTTCTCGCGTTCTTTCATTCGTTAAACACAAGTGAACATGGCACCGGTAAGTTGTCATTCTTGCAAAAATACGACAATTATTCGTAATTATAGTGGAATTTCGTTAAAATGATATCACGTACGGAAAAAACGCGTCCGACTTGTCGATTGGCTTATTGTTTTGTGTTAAGATCGTTTTAATCTAATCCGATTCATACGTATCCTATCGTACGCTCCTATCTCAACGCCTTGGACGATTTTCCACGTGTTTCATAAAATGATGGCAACATTATCATTAAACAGATTAATTTCGCAAATTTTTAGCCAGCAAAGAAAACTAAAGGCCCGATTAAGAAGCAGGTGCTTCGGGGCAAAGGACAGAAGAAAAAGATATCCGTGAGATTCACGATCGATTGCACGCATCCCGTGGAGGATAATATAATGGATGTTACCAATTTTGTAAGTTACATTATTGTTCTTGATTATTTCAGATTATATTCCTAATACTCTCTTTTCCCATATGTGAGAATTTTGCTCGAAGTTGCTCGTTTGATTGAAATCGAGACCTAACCTATTTCTCGCGGATTCCTAACCTGTGATAAAAAATTCTAATGTTGATTTATTTTGAATTGCATGATGCAATTTCCTACTGAAGTTTTAATACTATATCATTGAGACTGATTATTATAAGATGGTGATGTTTTCTCTTTTTAGGAAAAATATTTACAAGAAAAAATCAAGGTTGGTGGGAAAACTAATAACTTTGGCAACAATGTTGCCTTGGAACGCAATAAAATGAAACTCACTGTCAACAGTGACGTCGATTTCTCAAAGCGGTGAGTAATATCGTTTTTCTGTGATTGTAACAATTGTAGAACATCACAGATAAAGTTGATATCCATAGTCAGTTCATATAAACCATCTTAAATACAGTTTCAACATGTCGTGAATCAATCATAAAGTTAAATTAGCATTTTATAATATTAGAGATAATCTTAAGACAATCTTTAGGAATAGACTATGAATACTGGCTTATAGGTGTTTACCATTTAGACTGGTATTGATAATCTGTTCTTTAAACCCATTTTAAGTAATGTCTTAAAATGTTAATACATCTCTGTGATCGACTTAAGCGGCATCTACAAAAAGTAAATCTTAAGCTTTAAACTCTGAGCTATAAGAAATTGATCGATCATAGTTGAATATGAATAGAATAATTGACTATGATTAGTCAATTTCTTATGGCTTAAGATTTCAAACTTAGGTAATGACTTATTATAGAAAATGACTTATTATAGAAAACTCATAAGAATAACTGAATATCTGTGATTGTAGTAATATAAGTCGACACAAATATCATTTTATCTTGGCATTTAATGGAACAAAGACAAAATGATATTTGTCATCTTGTCTTCATTGAGTAGATAAAACCTTATGATATTAAACAATATTAAGGCCAATATTCATAGTTCATTATTATTTTAATATTGTCTTAAATAATGTCTTATATCCCTCTAGTTGGTTCATGACATCTTAAGATAGTTTTAAAATAAGAATTGACTATTGGCCTTATGAATGAAATTTATTTTTTACTATTACAAGTTTACTATTATAAGCTACAGGAAGAGCGATATTTGTACTAATTTGGAAAACATTGTTTTTATAGATATCTCAAGTACTTGACAAAGAAATACTTGAAAAAGAATAAATTGCGTGATTGGTTACGAGTAGTATCGAAAGATAAGGAAACGTACGAGTTACGATACTTCCAAATTAACAGTCAAGAAGATGATGATGAGGAAGATGTGGAATAATTCTCTTTATTCTTTTAATTACGAATGTGTCTGTATATATTTCGTTTAATAAAGAACACTAAAATTCAATGTTCTTGATTATTTATGCGAATACAAAGTACTTAGCTCTGATTGTATAACAACTATTTTTAATTTTTTAACTATAATTTTGTTATCAGTTCTATTCTATTCTATTAGCAATTTTATCAGTTATATACGCATTTTTGTAATTTTTTCGAAGTATAATTGCAAAAATGAGACGTACAAATCTTTACAAAGGTTAAAAGTTTATATAAGTTTTCACAAATTTTAATAAAATGTATGACTTTAAGCAATGTAATGTATAGTGGATAATATTTAAATATGGATTTACAATATCACTTCCAATGCAATTAAAATGTGCTCCTGAAGTTCTAATATTAAGTAATTAGGATTTACATCAAGTTACCATCAAATGGTAACTCTCTGGTTGACTAACAATTTCACGATTTGGACGCATTATCTGCCGAGGGCGTTAATGTACAAGTGAACTTTTCAAATCATGCAACTTCGTGCGAAAAATTGACGATCTGTAATGATGAATTCGATCACTCGCTCTACACTGGATCAGTGCTTATTTAAAAAAATCAGTTTTATATTAGGTGTTGGAATTAATTCGTAGCGTTTTTTAATGAAAGAATGTTATTTATTTCACATGAGCATTAAAAAATACATTAATGAAAGTACTTCCCATCACTTGTAAAACGCTACGAATTAATTCCAACACCTAATATAAAATATCTCAATGCAATGATACGATATAATCAACTTTGACAATGAAATTATACATACATATTCGTTAAATAATGTGACAATATCATTAGTAGATAGTTAATCGTTTAAATACTTATTTATAAATAACTTAAATACTTATTATTACTTTCATATTTTACTTTGCTAATTGCTTAATGTATAGCATTATTAATGTATAGCAACGTTTAATGTGCACTGATCAAGTGTAGTCTAAGTGATCCGAATTCGCTATAATTTACAAGTTCGACTCCGACGAAAATATTAATGATGTTAATTCCAGAACGTAACGCGTACCTGGCAACGGTCGTGGTAGCTACGTTGTTCATTGCGAAAAAGATTCGATGGATGTTCCCTGAATCTCGTCGACTCCGAAATTGATGATGTCGCACGGCACTCTCGTCATGGCGTTCGATACGCGCGATGCACGACATGACGCTATATATGCGTCTTGCGCGTTTCGGAAAAAACACTCGCGAAGCAAAGTCTCGATCGCATGCGGAATCCGCTTCTGAAAATCGATCGCGATTGCGAACAATTGAATGCGCGGACGCGATTCGAACGATTTCTAATCCACGATCTTCCGCGATGACGTCATGATGCGCTCGCCAATCGACGCTGACCAACGCGACGCGAATTTGAAATATCAAAAGAGGCGCGAAATCGCCTCTCGAAGCGCCGCGTCGCGGCGAACGAGTGAGTTATTGGCTGCGCTCGGTGATTCTTTAATATGATTGGTTCTTTCCTATGTAAGAAAATATGGGTCATCTAAAAAGTATCCGCGGTACTTTGTCATTAGATATATGACCATCAACACATCTAGTGACAAAAAACCGCGGATACTTTTTAGATGACCCAATATTAAGCCTATTCTACAATGTGCTCTCTCTTTCATCCGTATTCATAGTCCTTCCTTATTTTAAGGATGCAGAAAGCCTCTATGAAGGATTCTTCGATTCTTCAAAACCTCCTTGTTTTATAAACTGATTTCAAGTCTGCCTTCCCGAAGGAAGGAATATTTTAGGGATTTTAGTAGCCTTAGTTAAAGCGGTGTTATTCTTTAATTTGCATTAAGAAACTGTACGAGATCGTGAATAATTTTTCGTTTTTTTGCATTTTTGTGTATTTTCATTGTATTAATTTTAACGTTAGAATTTGTTTCCACATTTTTTTTTTTAGAGAACGCCAATTCATGTTATATTCGCGAATTGATAATTTCAAGTAACACGAATAAATCTCATCTTTCTCCTTTTTCTCTTCACGTTAGAAAAAAAAAGGAGAAAAGACGCGCACGCAGGAAAAAAATTCAGTTGAAAAGAACAGACTTATCCAGTCATTCGCATTCTTTTCAGCTTTCGCCGGATTTCTTGTCTCTTATATCCGCAAATTTTCCTAAGTGATTCAACAATTTTTGCAAAAAAATTATCGGTTTTTGCGATGTCATCTCAGATCTGTTTTCTCTTGCCGAACTAGTGTACACTTTTGGAACTTAAAGCAAGATAGTTATACGTTTGATTTAAGTGAGAAAGAGAGATTCTAGATTGTTCTAGAATAATCTAGATAGAGCCTCAAAGGGAGAGAATGAGGAAACTGCATTACCTGACCCATCTCCTCTGATTGGACGCGAGCATTAAAGTTCCATAGGCATGTAAGAGATTGGAAAAAATTGGTCACGTGATGGTCTTCGTTCTGATTGGTCGCGGGCATTTACGTGATGCAATTTGCCACTCTCTCCCTTTAAGCTCTGAGGCTCTCTAGCTCTATAACAGTCCAACAGTCCAACAGTCTAGTGCAAGAACAGAAACGGATCAGTCGTTAACGAAGAAGAGGAACTATTTTCTCATGGCGGAGGAACCTCGTAATCAAACGCGCAATCGCAACGGCCTATGACGCACGGCGATTGTTGTCGCGAGAGTAACTCCGAGAATCGCGTTTGTGTCAATTCAGCGCCCCTAAGGCTCGTGTCACGGAGAAGTAAATTAGAGGGAGAGAGAGAAGGAGAGTGTTCGTACGCGTGTAAACGAAAGGGCGAGCTACGGAACGCAACGTCGTCGCCGTCGTCGTTGTGTCGCGCGACCCGCTCACAAACGAGGGACAATGAAGTTCCAGTACAAAGAGGAACATCCGTTCGAGAAGAGGAAGGCCGAGGGCGAGAAGATCCGACGGAAATATCCCGATCGGGTGCCCGTAAGTACAAAGCGTCCTTCGAGGTTTCATAAAGTTTACGCATCCCGGATGTAGAGTAGCTTCCGTTGCGCTTCCCGGATGGAGAGTTCTCGCGAACGTCTACGTGGGGGAGAAGCGGGTAGCCTTTTCTCCCCCCCCCCTCCCTCTCCCCGTCTCCGTCCCCGTCCTCGTCCTCATTGCATCGGCTGCTTTCGTAATGTCGCGCCGTCCCTCGACGGTCCTCCGGTAAAGCCCAAGGTCGTCCTCGTATTTTGCGTCGCATATCGTTTCGGACGAGATGTTTCTCTCTGATAGGACTTCCGTCTTTCTTTTTTGCGCACTTACGCAGCGAAATCGCGCTGTGCCTCGCGTACGTCCTCCTCCCCCCTCCCGCACGTGTATTGATCTGCTTCACGACGTGCAATCGACCAAGTTTTCCAGCGTGTCGAAATTTTACCTGGAATCACCTAATTATCTTTTGAATTTATTTACGTCAAGCTCGCGACACGATCGCTCCGCGTCTCGGTCTCGAATGGTATCGAATGTTTTGGTCATCGAGTAGACTTTGGACATGTCAACATTCTTGGAAATTTTGTTTCGTTAATAATTCAGGAAATGATTTGCAACATTTTACTGCTAGGTTAAAACCCAAGTTTCCAGAGTTACATTGAACATATGTAGAACGTGTATTCTTGTTAAGCATTGTTTTAAAGCATTGTTTTTATTTTTGAGTCTGGAAATTGTAACGGTGTAATTTTGATTTTTCCAGATTTTTCCAGTAAATTATCCTGATTTCTCCGCTTTCAAAGTCGAACTATTTTATTTAATTTCCCCCGATTTTTAATAAATAACAAATAAATTAACGAGCACTCACAAATTGAATATATTTTGCTATTTATTTAATTATTTTTTAATTATTGAAGTATATTTAATTATTTTTAAACATATTTTTGCCTTTCGAAATATATTTCAGATTGAACATTAGGAGGATCTTTCTACGAATAGATTATATTTGTATATTTCGATCGTAAAAAAAACACGTTTTACAGATCAAATATTTTGCAAATGAGAAAAAAGAAATGGAAAAAGATAGACTGATATTAGTGATTGTTATTGTAATTAATTCCTGGCAGATTTTAATCTCTTTTTAATCAACCATTTTTTAAACATGTGATTCATTCCTCAATTTATCCTCATAGTACTTTCAGGGTCATAGTCGTGATCGTGATCGTCACAAAAGAAAAAATACAGTATTTATCTTCGCTATATATGAATCATCGACACATGATGTTTCACTCGAAATTATCATATCGAATTACACGTGCATTCGCCAGTCCAACAGGATTCGAATTTGACATCCATTCCATTATTCAACAGTTGGACGTGTTTCAACCAATTAAACCATCTCACTCGGTCTCACGACATTAAATACATATAATTGAAACTTGACTGTAGCGAGCCAAAAAAAATTATTTTTTAATGATTTTGTTAGCGAAAGCTAAAACGTTAATTTACTAGGCGAATAGCAACTTCAATGGAGATATACAGTGATTGATTCGTGCGTTTGCAGTAATTAATTAAGATATCTTAATATTATCAATTAATATTACATTTTTGTATATTTAAAAAATATTTGAAAGACATAATGTAAATGTTGTTGTAGGTGATAGTCGAAAAGGCACCTAAAGCAAAGATCAGTGATCTGGACAAGCAAAAGTATTTGGTACCTTCTGATTTGACTGTCGGTCAATTTTATTTTTTAATTCGTAAGAGGATTCATTTACGTCCTGAAGATGCCCTGTTCTTCTTCGTAAACAACATCATTCCTCCAACAAGCGCTACCATGGGTTCTCTTTATGCGGTAATTAGAATGAATATTATGAAAAATGCGTACATCAAATGAGATGTTTTGATTTTTATATGCTTCACAGTCACTCATCTAATCTTATAAAACTCTTCAACAGGAACATCACGAAGAAGATTTCTTCCTATACATAGCGTATAGCGATGAAAATGTATACGGTCACTAAACCTCGCAGGATGAGCAAATTGCCAAAACAGCAAGGGATTCAACAACAAAAATCTACCATCTACCAACGTAGTCCTCATAGAGACGCTTTCGAAAACCGAGCATACAAAATTACATCTATTGATATACTTTGTGCGAAATTTTGTCTTGATATTGCATATTCGCTTCCATAAATCTACCATATTCTTGGATGATAAAAAAAGATGCTTGTCGGTTCCATTCTTTTTGTTCTGCTATCTAAGAGGGCTTAGTTTATCGTATTATGTAAGAACTAATTTGTGCAAATTTATGTGATCATGTAATATCTAGCCTGGCCACCTATAAAAAACAAAAATAAGAAAAAACCAAAAAAAAAAATTTGCATTGCCATCATCGTTAACATTCTCACACATTCTGTTCTTCATTGCACATTACAATCATAATGGTTTTTTTCTTTTTTTTTTTAGACTAGCACCTATATCGTGCTGTATCATTATAAATTTAAAGTATGGTATAGATGGCGGGAATTCATTATATACGTGATATCATTTTCAATAATATAATAGATTAATGTTGTATTATACATAATTTTGATGTTATTTAATTAAAAGAACGAAGAAAAATTGTTGGATATGCGAGCGAGAAAAATTTTCTGTAATCTTGAAAATGTAAGGCCAATAAAAAAAAGTTAAAAACGTGAAAACGTGTCTTAAGTGTTTTGTCTATTCTTCTAAGATAATCTAAAATATTTTCGTCTCATTTAATGATTCGCTTCTTTTAATAGTTTCGCTTGATCGATTGCTGACAGAAGTCCTGACATTTTACTATCAATACCATTACCAGACTTGTTTTGCCCGTACATCCTAAATTTTTAATTTGTTTGTCCCGAGCACACTCCGCGCTCAATACATGCGAAGATATTAGCAGTCAAACTCTTTCTAGCGACGAAGTAACAGTTTGAACATCATGGAATTGGCGAATTCCGAGAAAAATGATACAAACGTTACTGTTGATAGATATGTTAGCTCTTTATACAATCTTACGCAAGAAGATAGCAACTGGATCGTCACGAGTTCCTTCATGATTTTTACAATGCAAACAGGTAATACTAAAATAATCTTTCCGAAATATGCAAGTTATTCTATCTAATTAAGAGATGAATCGTTATTTTTATACTTTTATTAATACGCGCGGCAATATTGATTCTCTTACAAACTGTGTAGGTTTCGGAATGTTAGAGTCTGGCTGTGTATCTTTGAAAAATGAGGTCAATATCATGATGAAGAATGTAGTCGACATAGTTCTCGGCGGCTTGACTTATTGGATCTTTGGATTCGGATTTAGCTTTGGCTTGTGCAAACCCAATAACCCTCTAATCGGCATTGGAGGTATATTCGTAGATCCTCCCATCGACGACGAATACATGGGTTCCATTTGCGCCGCATTTCTATTTCAATTGAGTTTCGCCACCACTTCTACAACCATCGTTAGTGGTGCTATGGCAGAACGGTATTTATTTTCGCAAATACGATATCGAAGACGTATCAGTTATACATTTTGTATTTCTAGATGTAATTTTAAGGCATACTGCCTTTTCTCGTTTTTGAACACTATTGTGTACTGCATACCAGCTGGGTGGGTATGGGGCGATCATGGTTTTCTGAACCGCATAGGGGTCGTTGATATTGCTGGTTCAGGCCCGGTGCATCTTGTTGGTGGTGTTTCAGGTAATCAGAGTACAAATATCATTGCCAGGTAATCAACGATAAACGGATAAATTTTGATAGATGCATTTACCTGGTAATACAGCTCTCGCTTGTGCCATCATGCTCGGTCCCAGAATAGGCAGATACGACAACGGCATCGACCCTCTACCACTTGGATGTCCAGTCAATGCTATTATGGGATTGTTTGTGCTATGGTAAAGCAATCGTAGATTACCGCGATGTCGAATGCAATAAATTAAATAGAATAAAATATAAAAAGGATTGTGAACCATAAATAGGTGGGGTTGGTTAGCGTTCAACAGTGGTAGTACTTACGGAGTAACCGGTGATCGATGGCAGTACGCCGCTCGAGCGGCTGTCTCCACGATGATAGCCAGTATGGGAGGTGGTCTCATCGGTTTGGGATTTAGCTTGACTAATCCGAATGGAATTGATATCCTTAGTCAGATAAATGGTGTTCTTGGCGCACTGGTAGCAGTTACCGGTACATGTTTGATTAATACAGAAAACGTGAAAAAACAATCGATTTTTAAGCGTTTATGTTGCGTTAGGTGGATGTTTCCTGTATAGAAATTGGGAAGCGATGATAGTCGGAATGGTAGGTGGTTTTATCACGTGTATCACAATGCCCGCATTAGACAGAATTCACATAGATGATCCTGTTGGTGCAGCCGCCACTCACGGTTCGTTTACATTAATTCCATTAATATATCAAATTGTCATAAGTTTCTCTCCATCGCGACGATAAACACTCGTATTCATTTAAAGTATAGGCGCAAGTGGTATCTGGGGAGTTATTGCCATCGGTTTATTTGCTGATAATCCTCATCCCCTTGATACCACAAGTGGAAGAAAGGGCTTGTTCAAAGGTATGCTACAATGATTTTTATGCATCTTTCTTATTCCAAGTTAGTACAGTGCATGAATTTCTTCTTTTTCATAGGAGGTGGTTGGTACCTTTTAGGAGTACAAAGTTTATCTGCACTTTGCTTATCAATTTGGAGTTTCTTCAGCTCTATTACACTGCTATGGGTTTGTGATTTTATTCCTCAAAAAATGTATCGTATGTAAAATGTAAATGGTATCTGTAAATGTCCTTATCTGTAGATAATAGATAAAATAATACCAATTAGAATGGCAGTTTATGAAGAAGTACTCGGAGCTGATCTTGTAGAACATAGAATACGTCATTCAAAGGTGCGAACTTTCTTAATTTTTTACACAGTTTGTTTTACTTACAATATGTGATATGAGACGTGTTTATTTATAGATAGGTGTGAGTCGTGCTATGTCAGCGCTTCGACCGTTTACTATGGAAGAAGTACTAAGGAATGTACCTCCTGTAGGCATGAATCCTGGTAAGAGAATTACATCTAAAATTTGTGCCGAAATGTGTAACATGCACTTTTGATACAGGTCACGATTCATATATTACTCAGCATCAAAAGAAGAAATTAGCGAATTTCTCAAAATCTGGGAAACCTCAATTGCCAAAGAAGCTGGTGGCGAGAAATTCTCAAATCAGGACGATCGCAGACTCTACGATAACCGCGGAAGTGAAACCACAGTTTGCTTGGATAGATTAAAAAAAAACGGATCCACAGTGAGACTTATACTTTATCAGAGATGTAAATTGTTTATTACAAATGTATAAACATAGATACGTGCACAATGTAATTTCGTTGTATTCTAATATGTCCGAATAATATGTATGTGTCTGTGCGACAGACACACGTTTCTTAATAAATACCTAAATTTTTATTCATTCACACATATAAATATTGATCGCGGTCATACATGCGCGCTCGCACACACGACACAGAGAGCTAAATGGACATGATAAGTGGATCACAGACAAACTGAATTTTAACACTGCTTAATCAGTGGCACAAATATGGTTTCAATCGACTAAATTAGCTAAATTAGCTAATAAAAGTGTTCATAACACTTGATAAGATAATGCATATTATTGTAAGAAATAAAATATTTCGATAAATATTTATGCATCTTCGTTATTATCTTTCATATATTGAAGATGCGTATACCTCTACTTCGTTTGTATATTGACAGGAACTGTCCCTGGAAACCATATTTAGTATATATTCACAAAATATTATTCCTCCTTTTTTATTGTTAAATATTGTACTAATGCATATTGAGAATATTTACAATTTCATTGTATTTTTGTGATATTTCTTCCGATTTTCTACTCTATTGATATTTCGAAAAATTTTCTAAACTAAATTTAGAAAATTTAACTGGATATATATACGTATGAATGGCAATATTCAAAAGATGTAAGACTAGAGTATCACACGTTTTTTGGAGGGCATAATATATAAACGCGGAACATAAACGTCGCGTATCTTCGTAATTGTCTTTGTTTTTATGACGATTATTATCAGAAGTATAGAGAGAAATGAGTTTAATAATAGTTAACATATAAAAATGTATCTAAAAGATTATTATCGATTCCTACAAGTATATTTCTTCTATTAGAGTGATATAAATACTTATATCTAAATTTATTCTATAAATACGTCGCTAAAAAACTTATTAATTACGTGTCATGTGTAGTTTTATGGAACACAATAGGTTGAATACTTGAAACTATATCGTTATTATATACTGCTTGATGCCCACTGAGAAACTTCTGTGGGAAGACCAGGATAATTTTTCACAGCCTCAATAACTTGCTGCGATGTTAACGTAAATTTGTAATATTGATATTCTTTTTCGAATTTCGTATTCGTATTTCCAACTGGCAGCAAGATCTCTAAGTTCTACAGAAGATATATATGTTTATTCATTTTTTCAAGAACCAAATAATTTTAATATGAACGTTTCTTACCTTGATATGTTCAAAAGCTTTCATGATAACTGGTTTCTGGACAGATTGTACAGAAGAATTCTGATTCGCAAATTTCATATAGCGATTGTATATCGCTTCGAAATTCAATGGCTCGCCGTCGTAAATCTCCGTTTCCTGTTTCATCGCTATTATCTGTAATATCGGAATATAGATATTTTTTATCAAATAAAGTTAATTTTAAGAAATAATCGCAAAAACATACCAAACACATTTCTAAAATGGACAGTCCTTCGAGTATCAACAATTTGTCATCCTGTGAAAAGATTTTACTTGCTTCTACAAAATCATTCACTTCCAGTTTCTGATGTTTCTCAGATAACGTCGAGACGGCTACCGCCAAAAAATTTCTAAAACTTCTCTCGCTCACATCAATATGATACATTCTTTTGAGTAAATTCACCATCGTAACGTTGGTAGTTAAATTCTTAATATAATCGTTCCACATAGAACCAAATTGCGGATCTATCGTACAATCATCGTACTGTTGCTCCACTTTATTTACATTTTCATCGTCAGGTAAGCTGAGAAGATCTCGAAAGAGTTCCAGACGATCGTCAAACGCGGACATAGGCTGTTCCGAAGATGATGTATCGCCGGGAAATAAAAATATTTGGCGATGCGAGAATCTCGACTTGACTCTCTTCTCCAGCAGTTCCATGACGTCTAATCTACAACTCATCCCCACTACACATATTGGCACCTATAAAAATAAAAGTATTATTTGCATCAAAATTTACAGATTTTCTTACCTTTTTTTAGCTTGACACATTTAAATATTTACCTGTGCAGATTGTGCAACATCAAACAGATTATACAACAATGTCTGATTATGATGTTCACAAAACAAATCAAACTCATCGAGTATGAAGATGACTGGTTTGGAGTGATGTTTATCACCAGATTTCAAACAATCTAAGAGAAAACTTAGATTTTCTGCAAATGTACCAAAAACCTTATCCTCAACGACATTTTCTAATTGCATCTGACGAGTTAGATCTTTGAGCGCTAAACGGTCGTCAGTGTGTACCAATCCATGGAGATTCACTATTATCGCGTTGTCTTTAAAACTTTTTAAAGCAGACAATTCCTTCAAGACACTATTAACAAGCTGGAATTACATATAAATAATTATCATTAATTAGAATACAAAGTGTATCATTAGGGATGTATCTAACAAGTGTGCAATATATGCAGCACTTAAGCCAAATATGCAGCCAAAATCGAGATTAAATTATATTTGAATATACTACAAATGCAATGAAATCATTTCCTAAATGCCAACGTTTTCATTAAAATTATCTTCCTCTATTATTAATTTTTATCAATGAACATAAGAGACTAACTTTAATCTCTTATGTCCATTTCTACTAATATAGATTTAATCTTGATTTAACTCTTTATCTTTTTTTAATTCTCAGGCTCGGTTTCATCAACTTTAATCTCGGCTTAATTTACTATTTATCTTTTTCTACTTCTTAAAATGAAAAAAAAAAGATAAAAAAATAAACTAAGATTAAAACTATTATATTGATAGAATTATATACTAAATTTAACTTATCATATACTAAATTTAAATTTTTTTTTCTTTTTCTAGTTTTAAAAATTAGAATTAAAAAAAAATAAAGTACAATTTATATTTAGATTCCTTTGTTATCTCCTTTTTCATTGAGTCTTACATGCAAATAACTACATATGTATACACACTTTTAAGACAAAAAAATTATTTTTACATGTAAATAGTCAACTTTTTGCATGCTTCTGTGTGTCACTATTTTACAGTCATAAAGGATAAATATACCGTTGTCTTTCCACTGTCTCTGGGTCCAACTAACAAGACAGAATTGCTTTCACCTATTTCAACAGTGCGTTTCACTAAATTCATAACATGTAGCCGTTCATTAACGTGATGTCTGAACTTTGTTTCAGGGCACATTATTCTACGTTTCAAATACTTTCGCGTAAGCAGTATCATATTGTCTTGAAAATCGATTGCCATATTTTTCTTCTTGCTCATTGTTCTTACTGATCTTAGATTACTTTAGGAAATTGGAAGACCTGCAAATGATAGAGTTTATCAATTTTTTTTCTTAAATACTATTTTTAAGACACTATACAAATCACAATGCAATATAAGCATATTATAAATATATGTAAGTGTAATATTATATTAATATATATTTATATATAGATTCTCTTATATGATCCCCAATAAATTATCCACTCTTCAGAATAATCAATAACTGACATCACATATTTTAGCCTCACAGATACGCCATAATTATGTTAACATATCATAAATAAGATAATATTATATGCTTGATTTTTATCTAAACTAATTGTAAAGCATAATATTTAAAAATATAACGTCTATATACGATACGGTCAAAAAACATAACCCGGGCAACCCGGTCGTCTCAAGCAGAGTTCGATGACACCGAAAGCATCTTTCACGTAAACTTACTCAAGTCGTTGAGCCTGAATTATCAGTCGATTTTTTCGGCCACTTTTATTTTGACGCAAGGAACAATAATAATGACAAGCAGTAAAATGGAAACAACAGGAAACAAACCCGGCTGCTGAATGAATGTCAGAGGGATGGTGTTTACGTGCGTTTACTAGTGTTTACGAAACAAACATGGACGACACGGTGCAAGAGCCGGAGAGAAAGAACTGCACCTTTCTTTTTAAAAGGCGTAAAATCCACAAAAATGCCACGAGAAAGCGGAGAGGAGCGGATGGCAGCGATGGTGAGTGGTTGTTAATAAATATCAATTTAAATACACGCTATCTGGATATCATATTTGTATCTCTTGGATAAGTTTAGTCGAACCGACTTTTAGGTTATGTATAAAAAGACGTCGTGTGGATAAACGTTTGTATTGATTCCTACGTAGATAGCAGCGAAGATGAGACCATGGTGGTTAAGAAGGAAAAGAAACAGGATGATCACAATCCCATGATACAAAGCGTAAGTATTTCGCACCGTGATGGAGACGCATAACCTCTATATGGAACATTTAAACGCGCAGTTGCATCAACAACTCCGCAATTAATTAGGTCTGTTTTTAATTCCTGTTTAGATTGCATTAGAACTCTTTCTCACTTTTGTCAAAATATCAAGCATATTCCATTTTTAATTTCAAAATTGTATGGTAATTCAATTATCAAGAAAACAGACCTGGAGTCTCAAACTCCGTTTCTAATAATATAGATTTTTAAAATTTATTCTCTATTTTTTTTAGAAAGAAATAATTTAAAAATAAATTAAAACGAGATTAATCCACATTAGTAGAGATGAACAAGGAGACATATGACATTTGAGAAATATATAGTTTGATTCCTATTTTTTTTTTTTAGACAAATGTGAAGAAGCATCAGGAGAAGATCAATCGCGACGATAATAATAGTGAGGATGACAGCATAACTGTATCATATAAGAGTAGCAGAACAGCTCTACCAGCTGGCCCAAGTGACCAAGGAGCAACGGCTGTTCTTCAAACAGAAACAGAGAAAGATAGGGACGCGCAGGCACTGTTTGAGAAGGCCCAAAAAATAAACGAGGTATGTTTTAAAAGTGAATAGCATTGAGTACTTAACAAGCATTGAGTACTCATCAAGTACATTAGGTGAATTGGAAATAGACTTGCTTAAAAAAACAAAGTTGGTAATACATCTCTGTCTTGATCATTAGGAATTAGAAGGAAAAGAAGATGATAAAATTTATAGAGGCTTGAACAATTATGCACAATACTATAAAAAGAAGGATACTGCGGCTGGTAATGCATCTAGCGGAATGGTACGCAAGGGACCAATTCGAGCACCGTCCAATCTTAGAGCAACAGTTAGATGGGACTATCAACCTGATATATGCAAAGATTACAAAGAGACTGGTTTCTGCGGTTTTGGAGGTACATCATATTTTCAGTTATTCTTTGAATAATCGTACTAATTATACTATATAACTTCAAATTAGCATTAATATAAATTCTTTTATTGTGTTGTGTACAGATAGCTGTAAGTTTTTACACGATCGGTCGGATTATAAATTGGGATGGCAATTGGAGAGAGAAGCTGCTACTGGCGAATATAATGACAGTGGAGACGAAGACGATAAGAAATACGAGATCGACAGCGATGAGGAGAACTTGCCGTTTAAATGCTTTATTTGTAGAAATAGTTTCACAGATCCTGTGGTTACAAAGTATGATTGTTAGAGTATATCTTTAATCGCTAACTTTTTCGATGCTTTTAATATTATATATTTTTTATTTATGATTAATTCACTCCTTTTTTAGATGCAAGCATTACTTTTGTGAAAAATGTGCTTTGGAGCAATATAGAAAAAGTACACGATGTTACATCTGCAATGTCCAGACTAACGGCACATTTAATCCTGCAAAAGAACTTATTGCACGAACTAAACTGGAAGACAAGGAAAAAAGCGCAGCAAGCGAGGATTCTGACGAAGATTGATAAAATATTTTACAAGATTATTTTAGTTTCTATAAAATTTTGTAATGTAATATTATATATATAATATT